CACAAGAGAAGCTAGAGGCTGCAGTTTCCCAACCAAGCACTCTGAATGCTGGAGGGCCAAAGTCAGCCTGTGTCTGTGGAGATGACTCTTTTAAAGGAGAAAATGAAATGTACACCATTAAAATACCCCCAAACGTCGCTCATCTGCCAAACTTTGGTGCCCAAAGTTAACTTCTTGTACTGAAGCTCTGAAGCTAATTTAGCGAACATGGAATTTATGCTTTTAGCTTCCTGTTAGCAAATTAGGTTCATTCAAGTGGACAAAAGCATGTATAGTTCTAACCATTAGTGGGAGCTACCTTGACAACTGATTTTTTGTTGGTGTATTTTGCTCAATCTTAGAGAAAGCAGTACATTATATAGTGTGAAAACCACATAAGCAAGTCTATTTGAGATTACTTCCCAACTTGACCTGGTTAAGTATGATGATTTAGTTTTGAATTTCGCACAGTGCTAACTAGTGATATAAGCTTATATTAGTTAGTTACGTTAGCCTCATAACTGAACTAAATAAGCAAACTTTAAACACCAAATATATCTTGGTTGATGAACTATGTATCATGTAAAGGGAAACTTATTATTTTTTGCCAAGTCAGCGCTATAAATTTGCCAGAAACAAAGAAAAACAGATGAGGAGAGAAAGGTGGAGCAAATAAGTAGGGAGTGAAGGGATGGAATGAAAGTCAAGGGTGTGGCTGCAGACCACAGCACTAAAGACTAAACTGTCTCCACCAGGCTGACACCCTCGTCCCGGGCCATCTCCTCTCCTGTATGTGTGTGCAGAAGCATCTGTGGGGACCACACCGCCGCTCACATTTACTCCAGACTGCGTGAAACATGTCTGGCTGGCGCAGAAATGATGGCAGAGTCTTGTAATCATATCTGACAGTTCAAACTCTTCAGGTTAAATAAATTAAATATGGCACTTAGCTGCCAATGGATGGGCCTTGTGGCCAGTGGAGAGATAGTGAGCTAAGTGGAGCCGGCGGATCAGATATACACTCTTCCCGCAATGTCTACACCACAGCATGAGGGAGGCTGCTGGGATGATTCATATAGAGGGCAGCCCACACACACACATCCAGAGGAGACAGCTGGACGTGTGGTCTCATATGGTCCGGTGTGATATCAGGGTCAGCAAGTCATACGTCCTTCCTGATCCTCTTAAATAAGCAATTGTGTGTGTGCGCACACTCGCACATAAATATGCTTACATACTTAAAGATCACAAAAATAGACTGCTCGCTGAAGAAGAGTGCATATACATGACTGTTCAGAAGTTTGGGATCACTTATCAAACTAATTATTACATTTAATAATACATACACAGTGTAGACTAAATATCATAAACTAAATATCAGAAAGTACTTTAAGATTTTTTATTCAACAAAATCTTTTGTGAAAAAAAAGAAGTTAATAAATGATTTACACAATCAATGAAGTAGTAACTTTGTGTCTCAAGGTTCGACCACTTTTCAAATATTAATCATTCTGGAGGGTCATTTCAGCATAACGTCATTCTCAAAGTTACACAGCTTGTTCAATTACTATGGAATCATCTACAGCTCTGGTCACCACACTATACACATCTGAAAGTGTCCTGCAAATTATTTGAAAGCAACAAAGTACCAGAATCATAACCATTTTACACAAGTTGCTGCAAATTAAATGATTTTACATTACTGAAAACAGTGATTACAAGGTTTTAAACTGTGAGTTTGATTATATGGAATAATACCAGTCAGGAATATTCAGCTTCTATAAATTTTTGCCCCAAATTCCTTTGTCATAACATACTGTCTGGCTGAAATGCATGGACGAGGACAGACCTTCCACTCTATTACTCTAAATGTAAGGCACAAAAGAATTAGGATCATGTAGTGATAGTGACTCCATTGGAACTGCCTCTGAATTTGACCGAAGCCTGCCTACTTTTTTTAAAGAAATATTGCTGAAAAGTATTTTTTGTTTTGGATCTAAATTCATTTACACCATGGGGTCTGAGAGTAACAAAATTTCAATACTCTGTATGTCCTGTACATATTGTAGTATTGACAATAAAGCTGACTTGACTTGATATTATATATATATATATATATATATATATATATATATATATATATATATATACACATCAATTTGAATATTTATATGCATTAACTTTTAAGCCTTTAGCTTTTATGAAAACAGGTAAACATACAATTAGGTGTCTCCAAACTTTTGAACAGTGTACAGGCAAGAGTAAGCAACTAAGACATATCCCCACCGGCCTTTGCAGCCTGAAAGGTGGTGTAGTCTCTTTTTAGCTGTGTGGAGGAATCCCCCCGTCCCTGCCCTGTGAGTGTGTGTGTGTCTGGATGAGTGTGCCGTGCTGCAGTCTCCTCTGAGTCTGGGCGCTAGCCTCAGGGTCTGTCACTACAGGAGCCATCAGTACAACACTGCTCTTAATTCATCTCCAAATACCCCTTACTCCTACAGAGTCATACTCACACTCACTCCTATCTAAGCAGAAACACACACAGCATATTGAAGTCAGCCTGTGAATCTGCACGCTACAATACAAGTGTCTGTCCTCACCACAAAGACTTTGCTGTTACACATCTCCAGTATGGAAGCTCCCTCCACTATCTCTCTCCCTAGGACACACTATTTACTCTGGTGAAGCAAAATAAGCAGGAAAAGGCTCGCCAAAGAGCAGTGAATGGAGACAGTGTTACTAAGCGCCAGTGGCCAGCAGTTTTATTACCTGTGTTTTAATGATCCGCTTGTGTTTACTGTGAATTCACCATTAAGATCACGCTCAGTGATAAAAACAGACTCAATACTAGCTGCTCTGTCCCTAATTCACCTGTCTGGCTCTGGAACAAAAACAATAATCACTTGGGGAAAAGTGAGAAACAAACAGCATTTTAGGAAAATAAGAATAACGGATCATTGAACATTGCAGCTGATCTTGGTTTGTCTTTCCTATAGTCTGTTTGCATCTGTATATGGGGGAAACTGAAAGTGGTAAACAAATTTAAACTGTACTTTAATTTGGTTTAGGGCTCATATTGAGTAAAAGTAGGCAAAAACCGAACCATATTCCACACAGGCCCTACATACTGAGTGCTACCTCACACTTGGGATATGCTGGGTCATGAAAAGGACAAGGCTTCAGTTTGACATTCTATGGAGAGGCCGTAGTGGACCCCTTTATCTCCAGACTAGCCAACAGTGTTCAGCTCAATTTCAGCCCAATTCTACTCTGACCACAAACCAAACAGTCCTTTGCAACGTAGACCATTTCTGTCAGCCTCACAATCCGCGTCTCTTGAGGCGCACAGCAAAAACAACAGCACGCTGAATTTTAAACAAAGCTCTTCCTCTGTGGGCAAGATGTAAATTTGCAAAAGAACACTTGGAGGCTCAGAGAGCTGAGAGGCAGATGGAAGAGGGAAGAGGAGAAACAGCCATGTTCTTAGTCACTGGTCTTTGATTTGTTCGTCTGAACCCAAGAACATCCTCTCCTAGAAACTAGGGGAAAAATGTCCACTCACCTCGTTTCCAAAAAAGCATGATGCGCAGCAGGTCGCCATAAATAAATAAGCGTCTTAGTATGGAGTTCTGTTTACTAATGGACTTGTGTAAAAGGCAGCTCCTCTCCAGAGGACCCACCATAAGAGACATGTGATGTAATGGAATGTGCAGACTCTTCTGCCAATCGAGCAGAAGCACAGGAAAAGTATAAAAAAACAGCGGCGTTGAACAAATCACTGAGGAGTAAGCAAAGTGGGGGAAGGAGAGATGTATCAAACCCTCCATTTCTCCCTCTACTCCCCCACCTTTCTCTCTCTCTCTCCTGTTAGCTGAGAGTGAGAGAGTGCTAAGAGAGAAGTCTTTCAATAACAGGTAGTAAAATATTAATGCTCCAATTCCAACAAAGGAATGTCAGAACCCATTTCAGAAATCTCCTGTTAAAAACACATCTATGTATAATTAATACAGCCAAAATGTTAATAAATGGCAAAAGGATAAAGGGCGATCTACAGCAAGAGTAAGAGAGAGTGCTTGAGGTGGCAGGTTGTGACAAGCTTTGTAGGCCTGCTACAAAAGTCTGCTGAAAACAGTTTGTGAAACATGACTCAAAATGTCACAGACTCTAAAAACCTAGTGAGCCCATATCCCTGCTGACTGCATCCTATTTCACAGAAAACACTGAGTGTTCACTATAAAACTGGGCTGAAATGAAATCAGCCTCATCGTTGGTCAGTCTTCACACCCTGCATTTCCACTACTGACCAACAGGGGGTGGGATCACCACAGCAGCTGCCAAGCCAGAGGAATGCCCTCAAATTCTTACTGTACATTTTCATAAATCCCTGAGATGAGGCGAAGCTTTGTTTATTGGATATTTAATTAAAAAGAAGGCACCACAAGCTTCCTTGAGGCATTTGTGATGTTGACGATTGAGCCAGACTCAATAGTCTCCAGTTGGGCACCGGGAGATACTCCAACCGTAGCTGGGAGACAGATTGGAAGCTTCTACTGCCTGCTTGAATTCAACACTTTCAAAAAAGGAAGCGCTACGGTCTTGTGGCATGAATTTAATAGCAGTGGGGAATAGTGTCCAAAAAACCACTGAATATCAATGGCCTTCTGCCCTGAGTCTATTAGCAACTTCTCATCAGAATGAAAAAACCTTGCCAGTCTTTAAGCTCACTCTCCATCTGCCGTGCAGCCTGAGACTCTGAGCATTCACAGCTCAGCAAAGAGCTATGAGTAATTCAGCAAAGTGAAACTTAATTTAGTCCTTCGTAACACATTTATCCGTGCACAATGTAGCACTGGCTGCTGTACAAGACTTTATAAAGGTCTGATGTAGGATGACATGGTAAGCATGCATGTTTCATATGACATACGACATATTGAAGCAGTGATTGAGTCACTTATAATGTATTATTTATAAAAATTGGCCCAGTATTATACCTCAATGCTTGTGTTGTATGAGTATCTACTCACCTGCAGTCAAGCTTCTCTAGCTCAAAGTGGGGGTTGAAGTTGAGGACAATGCGCTGGGATGGCTCGGGGGCTGTGATAACCCAGCGGCAGTCCAAGTGCGGTGGGTACTCCTGAGGGTAACCTGGCGTGGTGATATAGCCTGCATCGCTGGCGTCACGCTGCCCACCACATGGCTCTGGAATGAAGCAAAAGGCAGAGAATCAGAAACAGCTCAAATGATTCAATGAGCATGATTACAGGGGATTCACATGATTAAACAAGTGCAATTAATCTGATTCCACAGGAAGCTTCACATGTTTCAGTAGGGAAGATTAAAATAGTATAATTTGAATCAGTGAGACTGACTGTATTTGCAGTGAAACCTGAAATCAAAATGGACCTTTTTTTCCCCTGTTATTTCATGTACCTGTTCATATTAAGCACAATCCATCACAGACATACCATTTAAAAAGACACCAAGAGTGACGTTTGCAGACTCTAAAACATGCTGAGTGTTGATTACTTGCACCAGGAGGTGGGGAATAATAAAGTCACCCCCACGTATTAACCAAAACGCTTAGCTAGCTCAGAGACCCTCTGTAATACCTCATGGTATGGAAGGAAAAGGCAACATGATTCCCCATTCATGTTGACTTTAAAGTAATACCACAGCATTTTTCAACCTAATCTTTATCTGCTGAATCTGTAGCATATAGCTGATTACTATGGACAACAGTTACTGTATCTAAAAGGGAATTTCACCATCTTTTTAAAATGTCTTCATAATTAAATAATTATGATATAAACAAAATCATTCAGTGTGTTCTGATGTCAAATGCTCTGTTCTAGAGAAACTTAATGAGTCAGAATTGTTCACAGTGGTGATGATAGGAACCAGACATCTGAAGCATTTAAGGTCACCAACAGCTAACTTAAAGTTATTATACAAAATGGTCGCCAAATGAGATTTAGCACTATTTACCATTATACACATTATAACTACAAACTCAGAAGACACATGTATGCCCACAGGTCATTTTGGATAGCACACAAAACGGGCATATTTGTTTCTTAGACATTGTGATCCCTGGTTCTCATCACCACCACTGTACAGAAATTTGACTGGCTATGTGTCTTTACAATGTACCATTTCACATCAAACCACTCTGAATGACTTCTCAATCATTAACCCATGCAGAGATTTTGAGAAATGGATGGAATTCCCCTTTAACACAAGAACCGAAAACCTGCTGACTTAGTGAAACACAGTAACAGTCAGCTACATTCTACAGATGTTGCGGAATGAGAAGAGGTTGAAAAGCAATGTCCTGTGGGAAGATCTTTTGAAGGCCACTGTGCTGTTTCAGAATAAATAAAGCCCCATCTCCTGTCTCCTGGTCTGGAGAGCCTGTCCTGACCAAGTAATCCTGAGCACGCAGGAGAAGCAGAGGATGGGCCATTTGCAAACATTAGGACTTACTCTCCAGATACGATCTGCACATCTTTAGAATAATAACCCCTCTAACACACAGAGCCACTATCCTATGACAGGAAGCAGGCGGACAAGGCCGTATGTCTGCTTCAGGTCAAAGGTCAGCCCAATGCTGTGAGTTCAGCAATCACACAAAGACGCCTTTCTGCACGCAGAGTGCAGATAGGGCACTCTTTCATCCATTCTTTCTTTTAACCCTTCTCTCTCTTTATATCTCCCTCCCTCCTTCAATGTTTACTGCACTTGCCCAGTGCAAGGCCTCAGCTCCCTCAGCCCTAATAATTGATACAGTTCTCATTCATTATTGCTCTTGAGTGTAGTGTTCAGGCTGTTTAACCCGTGCCACGGCTCCAAGCAGAGCCGGTGCATATTGCAGACACACGAGGAGGCAAGGCAACATATGAAAGTTTAACCGTGTGGGAGGGAGCGAACGATTCAGGTCGGATGCCAGGCAGCAGCCTCGCTAAACTGCAGCTATGCCTCCTCGCACTGATAGAAGGCAAACAACTCGCATGACTTGACGAATTGCACACATTCTGATCTAAAAATACACAGCCGCTCCGTTACAGTAAACCACCAATGCCTCGGCAAGGGCAGACTAACTGAACACACACCAACCCACCACTGCTCGTTAGGTGAAATACACAACACACACGCACATGCACTGCCGTACTTGATCTGGTGTTGTTCCAGCACCACACGGAGAGAGGCCCGCTGGGGGATGCTGGGAAAAGATTCAGAGGAAGTGAAAGTTGTGATTGACAGTTTGGGGTCTGTGGCTGGTTTCCACAGTACTGTATGAACAATTACAGCTCGCATGCACCCTGCACTCAAAGATCCCAAAGCTTATAGGTGGGATTCTTAGGTGCTAAATCAAGGTGTACCTGCAGCTTTTCACAGACACCAAAACGCTATGTTCCTCGCTCCAACAGCCCTTCTTCTAACCGCCGGACCTCTCCTGACCAGAACCAGCTTTTTGAAAGCTCCTCGTGCCAAATATTGAAAAGAAGAAAAAGACCAGATGCTTGAAATGTAATAGACTTTCAAGTGGTGACATTTGGAAAGCTATTATGGCTTTAAAGGTGCGCTTTCTGCTCCATTGCATTTGATATGCCAGCCTGCCCTTCTCTCATTTCCCCAGTGGCTGCAGAGAGCACAACTCCAACCACTCCACCACAGCGTATACACAGAAAAAAAAACACGGTTTGAACAAAACGAAATCAGAGCATCCTCACAAACTTTGTGTCTGAGAGTAATGAAGCAACCCCACTGCCTGCATCTGCATCAGGGCTGTTTAGCATGTGCACAGTGGTGCGGCAGTAAATCCAGGCAGAGATTTCTGCCACCTCAACACTTTCTCATCAGAAAGTCTTGTCCTGAGTGAGCACAGGTTCGATAGACTGATGCTCTCATTAGGGGGTGCTCTTCCTCTCTCAGCTGTGGGCCCCAGCAGCAGCAGCCTGTCACTGTGTGAGGATTCATTTCCGCTCAGAAAGGAAGGGAAGAGAGAGAGAGAGAGAGAGAGAGAGAGACAGAGAGAGAGAGAAGGAGAGAGGGAGAAAGAAAGAAAGATGCTGCTGCTGTGCTGTGTGCTGGCCTCATGAATTATTGTGTCTGTGCTGCTAAAGGAGTCGATCCATCTACACACTCTGCCACATGCTATCAGAGCAACACACAGCCTCAGGGACTGGGGCAAGGGGAGGAACACACTCAGCACTTGGTGTGTGTGTGTGTGTGTGTGTGTGTGTGGGGAAAAGCTGATAGTGATGCGACGGTGCTCTTGTGGGTGAAGTGATATGTGAGGTTTTAATGGTAGATGTAAATTTTCTTACAACCGCACTACTGAAATGCTAAAATGTTGTGGCAGCTTTAATTTCCTCACACTGAAAACGGCAGCAATGGCAAATCCTGACTGACACACACATTTCAAAACTGGATTTGCGGAATTAAAGGATGATACACAGCTGCACGGACGGATTCCAAAAACAGTGCATTCAGATACAATGTGGGCTTGCAGTCAGTAGCGAAACCATTGCATCACATCCCAGTAGCTAACTCCCACACAAGAGCAGCCCACCTTGAAATATAAACACAAATAAAAATAAAACACATAGCCTCTGCCACCAGCACTGAGCACCAAGCTAGCCATCTGGGGGGGACTGATCAGCCTCAGCTGGTTTACCTGGAGGTAGATTTTTGTTCATCAAGGTACAAGCAATGTAAATGTACCTTCAAAGGTACAACATGCTCCTTAAATTGCATACCTTAAACATGATTTAAAGGTACCTAACATTCACTTTCTCAGGGGAAAGGTATGTACAGCATGTACCTTCTTTATATAACCTAACAATTAAAAAATAGAAAAATATGGTAAAAACTTGGAGTCAAAACAAGGAGTATGGCGTCAATGTAAAGGGCCCATATTCTACATTTTGCCTGTACTGTATTATTTTCCTTGAGGTTCACTTATTACATTTGTGTGGGTTTTTCAAAGACCTGACCATTTCCTAACCTTTCTTTATTCCTTTGTATTATTAAACAGGCTGTTTTTCTTACTGTGCCTTTATGACTGATATGTAAATACAACACAGCTGATTGGCTGCTCTATATTGTGCCTCATTCAAAGAGAAATCTAGGCTGAAGTACTCCTTATAACTTCAGTGTGAATGGGTGGAGCTAAACTGTTGTAGGCTGAATACACAGTTAGAAATAATGGTTCTGTGCAGGTACATTTTTCGTTCATCTAAGCTACAAACAATGTAAATGTTCCTTCAAAGGTACAACAGTGGTTTTATGATCCAATTGTGTACCGTGAATACGTTTCTCCCAGGTGAAAAGTGTGTATTTGTACCTTTTCATAACCTAATGTATTAAAACAGAACAATAAAATAAAAAGTCTGGAGACGAGATGGGGTGTGTGGAGTCAGTACATGGTACAATTATGTTCCCTGACTAAAAGTACTGAGAAATACCCTTGAGGATACCACCCCAGTGACGTGAGAGGTACTGCCCCAGTGACAGTTTCATATCTTTATTTCTGAGAGTGTAGGTGGATGTATGACATCACAAAACAGTTCGTTTCCTTATATGGAAATGTATGTACTTTTTGAACATTTGTACTTTGAACTTTTGAATGTTTTGAAACCTAAGCAATGTTTTCATACTACATTAAAGTCTTTTACTTTCAAAAGTGAGGTAAATATGGTTTTCCATGATATGTGCAAATTAAGACTAAGGAATTGCAGTTGAATATGGTACAATGGTACAGTCTAGTACCTTTTTATCAGAGAGTGCAGATGTGCTTAAAAAAAACAAATAAAGCCCAAAGCCTCTATCAGCACTCATTCAACAGTTCTAATCTGCTAATTCTTAATTTCCTCTGGAAATCTCATCAGGCCAAATAGATAACTGGATTTTCTTACTGCATTAATCAATACTGCCTTTCTAAAACTAACCATGTACACACAAACGCTTGCAAAGTCACTCCGCAGTCTCTGTCATCATGAAACTCTGCTGACTAAAGATCTTTGTCTTTCAGAATGAAGATAGAGGACATCACGAGGACGCCAATGGTGCATCAATGGAGGCATCCACAATCATTTTCTTGTATTTCCTCCCTTCAGAAAGGCAATACTCTACTGAGTTAGCATTATTAGCCCCACTTCCTGTCGGTTAGAGCATTTCGCCACCCCATCCCAAAATCGTCTCGCTCATCTCCCCTCCTCGAGCCATAAGGAAGAGTAAACGGTGCTAAGCAGCTGGGCTGAGAAGGAGAATGAAGCTGCATTATTTATGGCTCTCTTGCTTGTTTTGAATTTCATTGCAATAGCACTATTTCAGCACTTTTCATCCTATGCCTCATGAGAAGAAAAAGGAGACAAACATACACACACACACAGAACGAATTAGGGAATGCTCGTTTACTGGCCCGAATGCAAACAGCTGACCTTTATTCTGCGGGAGATTTACAAACGCATCTTCCAGTAAAAAGGGGATTTTATTCTTCTTTGTAAGAAAGAGAAGTGAAAAACAAAACAACATGATGACAAGATAAGGCAACTAACTAGCATCTCCATAAAGGCTGTTGTTTTCAGAGATACCACACATTTATCCAATTCACTCTATTAGATCTGACAGCAACAGATGCTGCTCTAATTGGCTTGCCACTCAAACCTAAAGCATTTATTTTTGCTTTAACTCCGCTGCGGAATGATTCTGCGGGTGGCAAGCAGTTTGATGAAAGACAACGTGGAGTGGGCGCAGTATTTTTCCACTGACGAACGGCTTGTGGAGAAACCAGAAGTGCTCTGTGGCATGAACTTGGTTGAGGGATTGCTCAGCAAGCATGGAATGCACTGATCTGCTCTCCTCTGTGGTTCCGCCATCAAACCCTGTGTTAGCACATGCGCACACATGTACGCGTTGCTGCCGTGGAGAGGCTGCCAAAGTCCTACATCTGCGTCTCATCAGTATGTGAGCGTGTCAACAGTATAAAGAGTCAGAGGAGAGGAGGAGCTGGAGTGAACCTGCACCTTCATCTCATACATAAACACACAGATGCAAGCAGGGGCGGCTTCAGAAGACATCTAGCTGGTGACTTTTACATTAGAGCAGGGGGAAGCAAGACAGAGGAAAAGCAAAGTGATACTTAGGGCAAAGGGTGTAGTAAAAGCAGGAATGAGCATATGGAAAATGAAATAACCCCGAGGCCTCCAAAACAGCAAAAACAGAACATGACAAATGGGCTTAGCAGGGCCGTGATAGGAAACAGATAAAATTTTAAACAGATCCTATCCACTACGCGGGATAGCCGGCCGGCTAGAAAGCAGAAACATTTTCCTATTCCCCCGGAAAGGCAAGCAGAGAGTACAGCCAAGCTCCTATCAGCCAACTGAAAACACACGTAAAATGTAGCAAGGCCAGACATTAAAGCAGAGCTCTATTGCTGGTGCTGCGCTCGAAAGGATAGTATCAGCAACAGCTCGCGGCACCGTATCCGTGCTTGTTTACAACAGCGGAGCTCCACAGGTGGCCAGGTGAATGCACGCAGCTGCAGGTGTGAAAGCAACAGCGGCATGGCCTCCAGGCATGGGTGACCAAACGCTCTGCCAAATTTGCACCACACTCTGATCACTGGACACAGTGAAAGCACCTGAGTACACATGCACATATACATGCACTCAGGCTCCTGATACTAGTATTGGGATTATGCCTTTCAATTCATTAAAAGTGTGCTGATGAAGGAGTAACGTAGGATATATATATATAAATCTTTTATTTTTCTTCATAATTTATCTGAATGCCTTCACCAAAACATCCACAGAAACAGTCAACTGGAACTCTGATAGGTTAAAATGCTCTCAACACACAGTAATTAATTAATTAATAAATAAATAAATAAATAAATAAATAAACACACACTGTGATTAGTTAGAGGGCTTGTTTGCGTATTGTAGCCTTCTGCGACACCAGTATTGCAAAAGCTAGTAACTCTAACAATGAACAAACAGTTCAGTCCTAACATACGCACACAATTTTTGAACATGCACAAATCTGGTTAGTAGTCAAATGTTTCCACAGAACAAAGACACAGAAAAAGCATGGTTGATTGGCAGCAGCCAATTTTCTATTTATCTATGTCATCTGATAATTAACTGATGTTTAATCACAGAGATGAGGAGCTTAAGTTCCTCTCCCTGCACGACTGACTGCGCTGCTGTTTTGTCCAGCTGGACTGGCCACTGCCTCACTCCTGGACCCTAATTTTGTCCCTCCACATGCCCAACTGAGGCCAGCAGTGCGGTCCAGGCAAGAGGCAGCGGAGAGTCCACAGCCCACCAGCACTGAGCAAGCTTGCCCACCCCACAAGCAGATGGCCAAAAGACTCTCTCTCTCTCTTTCTCTCTAACTCTCTCACTGTCTTCCTCTGTCTTTCCAAAGCAGCCAATCAGAAGCATAAATGGACTAATGAAGCGGTTGTTTGTGATGGTGTGATAGCTGGGCTTTCAGAAGGACCCCTGAAGAGAAGCCCCTCGGAGATCACACGACACAAACTAGCTGCCAGAATACCCACATTTGGCAAGAGATAAAAAAGAAAGAAATAATGAAAGAAAGAAAGCTAAAAATGTTTGTTATGATTAAATTACACTTATTATTAATATTATCTGTGCTGTTTTAAGCAGTTTCAAACACTTCAAATGGAATTAAGACCAAAATAGATTATAAAAACTAACCATCTCAGTATTGTACAAATGCTGTCTAACATATTTAACATTTTTTAAACATAACTCTGACAACTTTATACTACTTATACGGTGCTTTTAATACAACTAGCAGTTCAAAATAGTCTCTGTAAGGTTATATTGAAGTTAATAATGAAAAGATATAGTTTGCACTGATATGCAGTTGCTCTGCATTGTCCGGCATTTCCGGCACTGATTCTGACCAACTTCACCATTCGCATGTAAGCTCAGCATCTAATATTGCACATCACAGAGAGGCTTTAAGCAAACAAGCCTCTAGTCTGGATGATGATGATATCTGAGTGAAATCACTCTGTTTCTGGTGTGTTCCTGAAGTTTGTGGTCGTGTTTACACACTAAGAAACCCATCTGATGAGTAACGGAGAGGAGCACACTGCCTCAGGGTTTGGTGGAGCAGTAAGAGTTCACTTTGGAAGGTACTCAGCCAGAGCTGAATGAACTTCTCCAGTGATCATCTGTGTTCAGCATGTCAGACTGGAAGACTGGAAGTATTAGTGTGGGGAGTACACTGGTGTATGGTCAGTTCTAAAGCTGTGGCTTAGAGAGAATTTTCTTAGTTTCTTCAATTTCTGTTCTTTCTGAGAGGAGCAGAGTGGACCGAGAGGGACAGATAGGAGGGCTAAAGGAGAGCAGGGCATCTGATCAATTCTACCGCAAAATCTGAAATGCTAGATTTACACTTACAGTGGTGCTGTAAGTGCAGCAGATGAACAGTGAAAGAGTTTAAATGTGAATGGGAAACTGGCTGTGTGGGTTTTTTTTTTATCCTATGTTATGACTATAATAAATAGTTAATTAATTAAAGATCATGTACATAATATAGAATTTAAATTATTATGCTTGTTATAATAATAATAATAATAATAATAATAATAATAATAATTATTATTATTATTATTATTATTATTATTATTATTCAGAACAACAGTACTATTATAATTAACAAAAATATAAAATTAATAACAATAACAATACTACTACTACTACTACTACTACTACTAATAATAATAATAATAATAATATCAGTTATGTTTATTCTTGGCGCGAGATTAAACCCCGCTTGCCCCTCACTTATCCCGCAGAACATATAATTACAGAGATTTAACACTGAATAGAAAAAAGAAATATTAATATTTCCCGCATTCGTGGGTGACAAAGTCATACACGTTAAAGTCGAGACCCCCGTGTGGATGTATGGAGCGCGCGGGTCTCCCGTGAGTCCCTGTTTACTGAGTTAAACGCAGTCGGTGAGCTCAAACACACCGAACGTGTCGAAATCGCTTAATGTCCTCATGGCCGTGTTTAACAGGATTACAGTGAGTGTCCGCACAGAGGGGCACTGCGGGGAAACACCAGTTGCCTTCACTCTGCCAGAAGCGTTTTAAAGCTCGCCGTGTTAATAAAGCACAGCTGGAGCTTCTTCTGACAAACCGACCTCAGAGCAAATCTAAAACCAGAACTGAGGTCTGGAATCAGCGCTCACGGCGGAGTGCAGAGCGCGGTACTGCCAGACTGCAGGACACTTGGCTACTAAACTGAGGCTGTAACACTGTTGCGCCGAAGCTCCTGTGGATGAAACTGTATAATAATAAAGACCGACTCACCCTCGTCTCCGCGAACCAGAGATGATAAGCACAACACAAGTAAACATCCACTCAGTCTGCTAAGTAAATCCATGTTGGGGTAAAGTCTCGTGGAAAGTCTCGTGGTGCTGAATCTCCGTGTTCAGTAACAGGATCAGAGCCGCGCGCTTCGCTCTTTCTGGAGTCAGACAGACCAGCACATGCTGTTCTTCCCTTTCACTACTACACTGGAGAACCAGGCGGGCTGCCTCTCATCTACCTTTCATTACACTAAACACAGCAGCCTGGCTGAGCAACTTTCCCCCTCAACTCGGACTAAGGAGGGTCCCGCTCACAGCAGCGTTCAGCGAGACACTGCAGTCCACTCTGGTCATCAGTTCGAGTAAGATTAGGGTTTTAAAGTCAGACTTTTTTCTTTTTTTGTTGTTGTTCTCCTTCTGTGCTTTTCCTCCTCCAGTCCAAATGTCACAGATGCGCTCCAGTCTTTTTCCTCTGACTTTTTACTCTCTCCTCTTTATTAGATCACAACTCGCTCACGTTTCTCTCCAAAAGTAAAACGAGAGCTCGCGTTAAAATGGCAGAAAAGAGGTTAAGGCTAAATCATGTGTTCCGGTGAGGCCGTGTAGAAACAGACAGGGTGAAACAGGTCCAGCGCTCCGCTCAGCTCCGTCTGCAGCTCTAAGCGCGGCGCAGTGAGAAACGCAGCGCCGTTTTTTGGTGCTTTCCCCACCGGTTGTCTGTAAGCCACGCCCCCTGCGCTGCGATTGGCTACAAGTGAGATTTCCCCACCTTCGGAGATGAGCCTGGAATAAGATCACGCCCATCGCGCTGGAATTGGCTGTAGCCCCGCCCACAGTGTTAGGATTGGACACCCCCCATGCTGGGCTTTGCTTGTCGAGGTCTCGCCTTCTGCGCTAGGATTGGTTAGTAGTTCGTACTACTAACCAATCTATTAGGCGTAACTACTAGCCAATCCCAGCGCAGAGAGGGGGTGGCTTTTTATGAATACGGGTGGGGAAAAAACCATAAGGCCACCTCGTCTCGCCTCCATCTAGTCTGTGATTAAAGAGAAGCCGGTCTATAAAAAGAAGAGCCAAGGGAGCAACAAACGTCAATCGTTGGTGGCAGTTTGGTTTCTGAGGGTTTCTGAGCAACCCTCAAAAACCTCAGATAAGGAGAGAACACTGTAATAATAAAAAGGGGAACAGAAACAGAATGGAACATGTGATAATACCGCTCGCCATGTGCAGCCTCTAATGTTGAGCACCGCCTGAAGTCAGGAACATCCCTGATACCTTCTAATTGCCTTTAGGCTAAAGGAGCTTTGATGAAAATATGGCACAAACTTAAAATGCTGAGCCAAGATTTATGCACTATACGGAAGCCAGGTGAAGGAAACGGGTATGGAAATGCATAGCTGAGCTGGAATTAATGCAATCGTATTTGACAGCAGGCCAGGAAATAAAGAGAGAGGGAACAGTGGTGTTTGGTAACAACAAGAAGAAACAAGAGAAGGTGAAACAAAAGCTAAACAGGCCATGACGAGAGAGCAAAACACTGCCATGAGAAACACAGCGCCTTCAGTTGGTCTTATGATTGATTTCTCACTGAATTTGCAAAAAAGCTCTTCTAAGCACAGCAAAAAGGGTGGGAGGCACTGGAAGTTCCCTGTTTGAGTTATTCAGAGCAGTAGTGAAGTAATGAGAAAAAGAAGTGTCCACACGCACCGCCTTACGCACTCTCTAATTTAAGAGCCAGCGGTGAGGAGAAGCGCATGTTGAGAAAACACTATGGAGATGAGAGTGCACAATAAACAGAGAAAGAGGAAAGCTATAGTTTCGGAGGAAACAGAAATAGATACAAACCTTGTGCACCACAACCCACACATCAAAGCCACATTCTATATCTATAAGAGCAACCCAAACCAACTATCATCTGCTCATGTGCACCACACCCAATCCAGGCCCTGCATGGGCCCCCAGTCTCCCCTCTAACTACACACACCAAGACCTTAATGACACAGCAATCTCAAGCAGGGCCCAAAATAAACTTCTCTCAAAGCTTCTCCTCCTCAAGCACCCTGACCTGCATGTGACAGATGTACCCTGCAAGGAAACCACATGGCAATACGGCAGCAGCTCAGAACCACAAAGTTGCAACCAACCTAAACGTGGACCAAAAGCAGCGCAGTGTTAAGATCTTTTGACGTGCCCACCAACTTAGCATCGTTTGTGTGCTATGATGCCTGAAGGCTTCACTTTCTACTGTAGTGTAGTCAAATGATTAGTTCAGGTTTGTGGCACACCTCAGAGTGTTCAGGTCGAGTTGTCATGCAAAGCACGTTCACTTATAGAGGAACAGAGATGAAGGAACAACATGCTGGCTTTCGCAAGGCTAGACAATCAGCAGGATGCTTCCACAGGGGGTCCTATCTCCACCCTAACTCTCTTATCTATGTCTGTGAGTGCTGGCTTCTGCCCAGACTGAGCACTGAGCTCTGGAGGCCATGATGATGTTTGCCCCAGGAGCTTCAAGCTATCAGTAATCGTGCTGATAGAAGCTGCCCATGTCCACCGTTTTGTGAGATCAGTTTTGCAGGTTCTGTTGACATGGTTAAAGTCAGGAATCTGGCCAGGACAAGCTGTTCCACAGTGAGTCCAAAAGCGTCCTCCGCCCTGAGCGTTGACAGAAGTGCTCTGAGCTGTCTACACACAACTCGACCCTGCACGGGTCTGAGATCATCCATCTTTAGGGCCAATGGCAGGCTGAGTATGGAGACCCCTCTGAAGAACAGTGGAGGCTCTGTTCACGGCGGTGGAGCTGTCCACACACTCAGCCTCACAGGGAGAGGAGCGCCGAGGCCAGCTATGGGTGTTTTAGGCACCCTGGGGGTTCCAGCACAGACATCTGAGTGGACCTGCTTCCTGCTCCAGCCACCACAGACTCCTGTGCTGGCACAAACATCATTGTAGCTAGAGGACTTTTCCAACACTGGAAAAGAGGAATAGCAGAAAGCGTGCGTGAGCACGGCTGTTCCCCTGATGCCTTAACTTCTGGAGATATCGCACAGATTAACACCCAGATCCAATTACTTTTGCTAAGCAGGGCCAAATGCTGGACATGCCACAGCACAGGGCAGCAAGGGTGGGCCATGAGATAAGTAACCTCTCAAGGTCCCCAAGCCTACCACTGAGCTGGAAAACTTTAAGTGTTGTTCGTGAAAAAGCTCTATAATGATGACAAACAGGCCTGCAGTGGAAGGGAACCGTTCTGGAATGGAATTCTGAACCAGACATTCCACTGGTAGGGCAAAGGCCAGATACAAAGCAGTGCTATCAGTGTTTACATGGTGCCCCCTGTTTCCCTCTCCACTCTTATCTCCCAGGCTTCAAGCATGTTATTGACACAGGCCATGCCCACAGGCTCAATCATGCCAAACCAAGGGTGGGATGCTTGGTGAATGGTGTTGTAAAGAAAACATAACACCAATCATTCTCTCTTTGATGGTCCAGAGAGCACGTATGGCTCCAGATGCTGCAATACTCCCCACACCTTATCGAAGTATGCGGTAGTTGTCAACATATTCCTATTTAAACATACAAACGCACACACAAAAGCTGCCCTAGGCTTCATCGAGAACATCTAGTGACCTCACCTTACCAGAACAGTAAATTAGTATGTCAACAGCACATGGACATGAGTGACACTCTTATTTACAGCCTGACTCTGCTGATGTTTTTCTCCTATGACTAAGAAAACTAACACTTACACATGCTAAGACACACGTATTAGTGTTCCCAATTCCATTCTCGTACAGACTACCTGTGTTTATCATGGCTGTATCTGCTAGTGAATTTCAAACCTGCCCACCAACCGCATTCACATCGCAGCCTGATCACCTCCTTGCTCTTTTCTGATCTATTCATTGGAGTACACAGGCCGTGGTGTGTGTGTGCAGCAGGCCTAGATCACAGCACAGTAGATCTTGGGCCAGGTCTCTGCAGGAGAAGCCTTTTATTTGCCTATTTACAGCCGCATGTCACCGCTGCTGCCTCTGGCGTGATTATCACTGTAGGATGAAGCGGTGTCCGGGGGTTCATGCTCTACAATAGTGGCTGAGGAAGCTGCAGAGCTCATTATCTACAGAGCTATCCAACCCCCCTGAGGCCTTTCTTCTCCGTACACTCACATTCATTCAGCCAGCTCGAGGAAACACCTAATGCATGTGCCACAGGCCTGGCCACGCTCAGCTAACAGAGCAGGGTGGCAGTGTAGACAGCCGTTGGACGACGGTGATCCCTTTATATATGCTTAATAAATGACACCTTGTCAAGTGATGATCAGTTTCCTTGTGCTTATGTACTTCTGTTCAGAAGTAACTATGAAACATGTTTGCTGAAATGATAATGAATGAACTAATCAGCTGCTTGAGTGTCACTTTTGACATCACTTCTAGAGCCTGACTCCTTTCAGGGATCTACGGCAGTTCCTCTTTGATCCATAAGGGGGCAGGTGTCTGCCAAGGGAGACTAGGAAAGCTGAGTGGTCAAGAATGACCAAAAAGCAGAGGAGACAAAGCCTGCACAAGGAAACATCACTATCAGAATGAAAAGACAAGCTCATTGATGAAATGTGAAATGACTTACAAAGCTGTTACAAGAAGAACTTGGAGTGGTTGTTGACAGATTCATATTGCAGAAGCAGAAAGCCAAATGCAGTCAATTACTGTAGCAAGCTGAACAGAAGTAAGTAGCAAATGATCACATGGTGTCTAAACATACGCAGTGTATGTTAACCTCCCAGCTTCCATGATAATCTCACTTCCAATCATAACTACACTTTCAATGCTTTTCTTTGTTTTCCCCCTCCAGCTATTTCTGCTCTCTCAGTAGTCTGCCTGTATTTCCTCAAACCCAGTTTTCTCCTCTTTGATACGGCATTTCATTTGCAGTCTCTGGATGTGCTCGTCCACTGATTCAGAGCAATAAACATCGGGTAATTATGATGAGGGACAGAGAGCTCGGGGGGACATGACGAGCAAAGTGCCTGAGGTGCATTTACTTTTCTTCCATTCCAGAACACAAACATCACAGCTACATATCTCTTAATCTTGCTTTTAATTATGTGCCTTTACCTCAGCGGCAGCAGTGGGGCGCACATGCGCGCACACACATGCACTCATTACAGCGTAATTGAAGCGCCTGGGGTGAGCTCCCTCGTTGCCTGTGATGGTATTCACTGATGAGTTTCTGTGGCTCTGTGTCCTGCTCTCCTCATCAGAATTGCTCTGGTCATTGATAAGCCCAGGGGCCAGAGGTCAGAGCCCCTAACACTGATAAGGCTGTCTGTGGAACCCCACTGGGCTGATTGGGATCTGAGCAACCATGGAGTCTGAGGGTCATGACGGAACACTGATCAAACAATCAGAGCGACCTAGACCCTCCCCTTTACCTCTCTCTCTCTCTACTACAGCATGCTTATCTAAGGCCTAACACGTTCCCCCAGGTCTCTCACAGCTGTTGCTCCAGCACCTTTATCTCTTTCTGTATTCTGTTTCTAATTACAGGAGTGGCCTTCTCTCACCCCTCTGTATGCAAGCCGTTACTTTGTTTACAGTAAAGCTCTTCATCCAGAGAGTACGCAGAAAAGACAGAGGGAAGTAAGTCTTGTGACTCCGATGACTT